ATTAATTTACAACAATCGATTTTCCCCGAAAAATACGTTCATTTTGGATCTATAAAATAAAAACTACGCAATGAAATACAAAAAGCCACGATTAGGCACTAGATTTTTATGTATACAATAAGTCCACCAAAGCTGAATCAGTTAGCTGCAGCGGTTTTCGAGATATTTTGGTCGCCTATTTAGAAAATGTGGTTCTGAGAAAAACACGTTTAAATTTTCAAGTCAGGTTTACAACCGAATCAATGCAAATTTGGTATATATAGTTATTCTTAGTATTACAGCTTCATATAGCTTTGTGTATTTACTAACCAACCATAAATTGCATTGGGGCACAGTATTCACGACTCATGCACCCCTAGAAAAGGATTCTACCACTTTATATTTGTTCCGAAACTTCCAAGGCAGTATACTTTAAACGGACGTAACTCCGCCAATTTTGGTCGGATCAATTTCGAACTTTCACACAATATTTCTAAAACGATGTAAGCAAATATGAAAACCCAAAAATCAATGGTACAATTTTTTCAAAATTTCTAGATAGATATAACCCCTTAACCATTTGAGCGCGATTCGTCGATATAGCGACGATCACTAATTACTCCAAATGTGTGGCGCGTCGCTATATCGACGATTACATCAGTGTGCATTTGGCGCTCGACTGGGAACGATTGTCCCGTGTTGAATCTTTTTTTGCGATATTTATCAAAAATTTACATCATATAAAAGTATAAATTAGTTGAGACCGTTAAAAAACAATTTTTATTTTTCGTTTTATAAACATCGATATATTGAGATAGAATGGTTGAGCAAAAAATCCGCAGAAATACCTTCCACATTAGGCCAAAAATTCAACCTGGAAAAATTACCTGGCACAAAAGTGCGCAAATGTGTAGTATGTAGTGTGAAAGGATCTAATAATCCAAAGCGTTCTCGGCTAATATGCAACATTTGCAAAAGAGGTGTGCATGGCACATGTGTGGGGAAACACAAATGTGCCAAAATTTGAAGAATAATTCTGGAACTTCTTGTAAAAAAAATAATACATGATATCAAAAAAAGTAAATAAGTTTTTTTATAATCATAACTCATAGTGGAGTCTACAAAATAAAAAAAAATTATTGAAATATGTCATTTTCTGTGTTTTTTGTGCTTATACTTGTAAAGCCATCATAATTCATTTTTCTTAGTCCAAATTTTGCTCAGCAATCTTCGTATGTATTAAAAAAAATCGCTTAGCACTCAAACGGTTAAGGATGAAGAGGTCGCAAAATTCTCGTTTGATATTATTGACGGTGTCGAGTGGTGTGGATTTCACGATATTCGCGTGTAGTAAACTCTCCTGGAGCGTTACACGGTAATAGGGGTTGGACGATGGGGTCGCATCGATATTTGTGAGGGCGTGCTGCCTCGCCACGAGTTCTCACGGATGCTGGGGGGCGACGATACGCCGACTCTCCGTCGACATTAGCATTCGCGATTCATATATTATGCAGATATCGTGGATAATACGTGTAAGCATCACCGGCCGACAATAGTGCTCATTCGGCGTCCCGGATTTGGAATTATGCTCGAATATCGCCACCTCAACTGCCGCGCGTCAGGGTTTCGGAGGGTAGCTGATTAACGGTGACAGAAATTTCCATTCTCTTCTGAACGGGCGCGCACCTGCCAACGAAAATCTAGCCGGTTGTGATCGGATTAAAGGATTTACGGGATCATATCGTTGATCGATACGTTTGATTCGAATCGGTTCTGTAAAACCGAGAATTAATGGATCCGATGCACACGATCGGCTGAGCGTGGTTCGATTGTTGCTTTGGAATCTATGATTGTGTTGTGAAATCGTCTTACCGTTTGGTAACTTTGATTTGTTTTACTGTTTCAGCTGCATAACTGTAAAACCAGTCTAAAATTTTCCATTCTTATATAATGCATTGCGGTTAGAATAAAAGTGAACCAAGTATGTCGTGACTGAAATCGTGTTGGGAAATAATGTATCTCCAGAGAAGGATAGACGATATTCCCTAGGAAACAAAGTGATTAGTTTTTATTTTAACCATAATGCAAAAGAATTGAAAATTTTAGGGTGATTTTATAGTTTGCCACGCAGTGTATTCGAACGCATGCAGTAACATGCATCTGTGGATGTTAGGAAGAACGCCGCATGTTAAATGTTTCCATTTTCCAGGTATTGTCGTTTAAAATTTTAAACACTAATTCTTCTTATTACTTATATTTTCTTTCTACGATATAAATGTATGTTTCTTTCACTATGCATAAGATTCTTCTGAGCATTATTATATTTCTTTTAAAATAAAAATATAGAACATAATTCTGGTCATTTCATTCCATGCAAAATATGTTATAGTATAAGCAGATTATTATAAATAGAAAATAAGAGGCGATCACGAAAGAAAGATACGAATAATCGTCGTATTTTTCCATATTTGTGAACTTACGTTGTTTTGCCTGATGCGTATAAATTGAATATTGGACTTCGGTTAAATTGCATTATTTTGTTGAACATACTACACTTGTTTTCATGTATTTTTTATGATAAATACACAAATCCTACATTCTACAGCTTAATAAATGCATAAGCTCATGTTTTCTTGAAATTGTTACATGCGGCGTTTTCCCTTACAACAACGCATATTATACACATCAAACATCTATCTTTTGTAAAGAGGTTATAGTCTAGGAAGAGAACAGAAAGGAAATCTAATTTCCTTCCGTGCGGTTTTAGATTTGTTCAAGATACCGTTCACACAAAGAGGCGCATTACCACGAAAACAATGACGATGAATAATATGAATATATTTAAATGTCAACTCCTGCATATTATAACAGATGTTTTATACAAAACTCTGCACCCTGTGTTCTGCTCTATGCTCGCTCTTCAATCTCTGTCTGTCTTTTTTGTTCCTTCATCGGTCTTTTCCCGTACATCCCCTCCTTTAAAACAGAAACACACCCGCAAGCACACCTGTCACTTCCATCCTTGCTTAAGGGGTCATGCTCAGTCAGGAGGCCGAAAAAAGGGTGTTCTTTGAGAATTTTTTTCTCGAAAACTATAAGACCTTTTTCAAAAAATGTGCTTGTGTTTCAAAGATTGCAGTTTCTAGATTATAAGGTAATTTGTTTATTTAAAATTATTTATTAGTAAATAAATGGTGAGCGATCTCCCGGATGTCTCTTCACAAAAAGTGGTCTGCCGTGATCACTGTAACTTCGTAACGGTTCATCTGAAATTAAAAATTCAGTAAGATTTATGTAATGGAAGAACCAATGTTGCCCTTGAACGTGAGGTTTTTCGAAATATTGATTAGGAACAAAATAGCGGACGTTTTTCTGAAAAAGTGCGATTTTCACCTAAAAAATCACTCGTTTTTGGTCAATTAAAAAAAAATATGAAATGAAAAAAAAATCCTTCGTTCAAGGACAAGTTTTTCTGATTTGAAATAAGGCGCAAAAGGCTTCGTATAAATCGACACAGTAGTTTTCGAGAAATATTGATCACTGTTTTGAAAAATGTAGTTTCGAGAAAAACGCGTTT